CAGAGGATTGCAGACGTTGTGCAGCACGTTGTAGAAGACATTCGAGGAGAGTTTATATTAAAAAGACAAGCTTTGATGGCGCTAGGACTTTTTTAACCTTAGGGGAAAATTTGAGGCATCCAGTGGCATGTTCTAATTATACAGAGAAAAAAAAAGAAATAATCAAAAAAGAAGCAGAATACACAAATTTGGAAAAAGACAGTATGCACAAGGTGGTAGGAAGTACATTCATGATTAACCTATATAATGTATGTAGGACTAACAGTCCTAACATAGGACATACATACACATGCATACACATCTAAGCATACATATACATATACATGTACATACATATGTATACATACATGTACATGCATACACAAACATAAGTGTCCAGGGTACCGCAGATTTACAAGGCTCTATTTTTACTGTATGTGGAAGAGTTGAACAGTCTGTTGACTTGAGGGACAAAGGACTTCTTGAATCTGTCCATGGAGCAGGGCTCGGACAGCATTCTATGGCTGAAGGAGATCTTCTGCTTCATGATGGCGATGTGCAGAGGATGGTCAGCATTGTCCATGAACGATAGCAGCATACTGAGGGCCCTTTTCTCTGCCACTGATGTAAGGGACTCCAGCTCTGTTCCTAACACAGAACCAGCTTTCCTTACCAGCCTGTCAAGTTGCCCTGCATCTATCCTCTTAATGCTGCCTCCCCAACACACAACAGCACAGAAGAGGACACGGGCTACCACAGACTGGTGGAACATCAGCAGTAGTTTTCTGCAGATACTGAAGGACCCAAGCCTCCTCAGGAAGTAGAGCCTGCTCTGACCCTTCCTGTAGAGGGAGTCCAGTAGCATTTCCTTTGCTTTACTGATGTTCAATTCTAGATGGTTGGATTTGCAACACATTACAAAGTGCTCAGCCAAGGTCCTGCACTCCTTCTTCTGTCCATCCTGCACATATCCAACGATTGCAGTGTCATCCGAGTACTTCTGCATATGGCAAGTCTCCGAGCTATAATTGAAGTCAGATGTGTACAGGGTGAATAGAAATGAAGAAAGAATGGTCCCCTGTGGTGCTCCTGTGCTGCTAAGCACTGTGTCGGAGATGCTGTCCCTGATCTTGACATGGTGTGGTCTCTCCGTGAAATAATTTGTAATCCACGAGACCAGATGCGAGTTCACCTCCATCTCCTCAGGCTTGTCTCTCAGTAGCCGGGGCTGGATAGTGTTGAAGGTACTGGAGAAGTCGAAAAACATGACCCTCACAGCACCATTTCCCTTGTCAAGATGAGAGTGATCTCTGTGCATAAGGTAGAGAATGGCATCATCCCCCCCATCTTCTCCCAGTACACAAACTGCAGAGGGTCTTCAGAGTGGCGAACCTGAGGTCTAAGCAGTTTCAGTAGCAGTCGTGCCATGGTCTTCATCACATGAGATGTCAAGACGACCGGCCTGTAGTCATTCAGATCCTTGGGGTGTGCCTTCTTAGGAACTGAAATGAAGCAGGATATCTTCCATGTGACAGGGACCCTCCCGAGACACAGGCTCAGGTTAAAGACATGTTGGAGAGGCTCCCCCAGCCAGACATCACATGCCTTGAGCATCCTGGGGCATACCTTGTCTGGGCCTGCTGGTTTCCTGGGGTGTAGTCTGCTAAGCTCTCTCCTTACTTGATTTACAGTGAAGGTGGGGGAACTGGGTGAGTCCGTGCTCACAAATGAATGCTACACAACTTTTATTAGTCATCGACAGTACAGGAAAAAAAAGGTTTTATATCGATAACAAGCAAGCTAAAAATAAAACTAGTTATACTGCATTTCAGTACTTCAAAGAAAAATTAAACAAGTAATGTTTGTTTACATAAAATAAATGTGCAGAAATCTATGCATATATGCTTATAGGAAAATACATGTATCACTACTGTTTCTGACCTTGCATAAAGATTTATAAGTACACTTAAAATCTAGGCTCAGGGTCGGTCCATCCATCCATCCACCCATCCACCCATCCATCATCCATTCATCCATCCATCCTCTACCTATTAATTGTGATGCAGGAGCAACAGTATAAGCAACTGTAAAACCTATTTTAATGCTTTTGATAAGACAGCTATGAGATATAATCTCTCCTCGATCAAAGTCAGATTCAGAGATACTTTATTGTCATTCGCACCTCATGTGGTACATGTGGTGGAGCAATATTATGTACACAGGGTCCCAGTTACATCCAACAATAAAATGTAAAAGAAAAACAATGATAACATCCAAGATAGTAACTAAGAAAAACAGTGAACAGTGGTCTTCCCGGAGGCTTCTTGTTGAGTCATGTCCGAAACACTTAGGAAGAAGTTCTTTGGAGGTGACTCATAAGAAATCGGGTGAAGAGCTCAGTGCTTACAGTAGTCACTCCTCCTCCACATCACAGGAAGGTTAAAAGATGGTCTGAGCATCTGGTAAGAATGCCTGCCAGACATCCCGATGCTTGGGGTTATTCAGTTGACTG